TTCTGACTTTCTGTCTGTGCAGATGTAAATTATTCAGTGAGGGGTGTTGTAGACATGCCTCCTTTATTAACATCAGTGGGACTTGTGAGGCTGAAGGAAAATCTACCCTCCCCACAGGCATCTCATATTGGAAATTTACACTTTATGGCTGTGTAGCAGGGTTATATATCACCACATTCTTCATAAGTGTTATTCCTTCTCCGGAAGGGGGAAAAAAAAAAAAAAACACACAAAAAAAACTAGGAGGGGAAAATGAAAGATAGGAAAGCTGTGGTGTTCTTTGCATTATACAGATCCTTTGTCACATTAAAAAAAAAAGTAACAAAACAAAAACAAAAACAAAAAAGGCTAAAAAAACCCAAAACGAAACAACTAACAGTACTGTCCAAACACAAGAGGCAAATATGTGTCCCTAAGCTGGTGTCTTTTGTGATGCTGTAATTAATCACACGCAGTTGCTTACAATCTGAGTAGTACCTACTGAGTGATTTTGTAAAACACGGTTAGACCACAGATGTGATCCAGTTGGTGCCTTGTACTCTTTCCTAGGTTTCACTGCTGAGTGGATTGTTAGTTAAGACGTCGACAGCCCACTACCACTATATGGTGTGATCCATATCAAGGCATTATTTGGCCCATGGGCAGAACAGTATCATCATTGTTGCAAAAGCACAGAATAATAAGGCAGAGACATATACTAACAGTTTGGGATAGCCAGATCCATCTAATTCATTTTAATGAACAGCTAGGCCAGCAAAGCAAACCCAACCATCTGTGCTGCAAAGACACTGAATGCTGGAATTTCCCCCCACCCCCCACCCCCCTTCATCGTCATATTGCTATATCAGCACATGTGCTAACTTCAAACCTTTCCCATAACACATGTGCTCCAATTGCAATCATTTGGATGCAATTTGGTTTATGCTTCCATTTCCCCCCTGTTGATATGAGTGGGGTGGTCGCTGTTGCCGTTGGAAATGCTTTGACATCTCTGTCTCCATTTCTTAATGCTCCTCTCTGTGTGACCTTGTCCAATCAAATCTAACAGGTACTGGCACAAGTGCTTCTGCCTCGATCTGAAAATATGCACAATTATGTACTGCTTGTTTGTGATTGGTAATTGATGGTGCTTAAAAAAATAGTCATTAAGTTCCCAACAAGATAAACAAACACGCGGTTGCCCGGGTGCAGGATGTGAGGGTGCAGAAAAAGGCATCTTACGTGTTCTTTCAATGGATATCAAAGAACTAAAATCCAGGTGACCCACACGCAAATACAAGCAAATGAAAATATTCTTATTGCATAAAAAAGCAATAGCCGTCTAAGAGCTCTTTCAGTCATTATTGCCTGGGCTCATTTACACCAGTTCCTGTTCTTCCCAGGCTTCCTTTGCCATTGCAAAGAGGGAGAGAGAAGGTCACTTCAGCATCGCCAGGACGGTGTCCTCCCTTCAAGATATGACCCAGCCTCTGGAAACTTCTTTTTCCCTCTCCCATGGAAAGAGAGTGGGGTGATGAAGCTCCCTATCTAGTACCTCACACCTAATCAGAAATGTAACCACAAATGTACAGAGTCTAAGGGCACCCCACTGAGTGGACACTTTACTTGGCAGTATGGGCAGGGTGACCTTTGGTGCTGAACACACTGTGGCAACATCAGAGAGCCCTACTCTGATGGAAACTCTAACTAATGAAGTTGCCCTGCTTTGGGAGTATAAAAGGGTATTTGTGCATGGCTTTTCGCTCGTTTGAGTGGATACATCAGCTCAATCAGCACTAACTCAAGGACCTCTCCAATTGCTCGAGGCAGACATAACCCTATTATAAAAATTACTATTGGGTTAAAATGAGGCACGCAGAACAGTGTTGGATGCATTGATTCATGGTAATTGTGAAAGCTCCATTTCTCTCTGCTGAGCCAGAGGCGTTTGGAAGCTGGTGTCTATTCCATTAACAAACAAGGAAGTCACACTACCACCAGGTAAAAGCATATTACAGGTGTTAAATGGGCTGAGTGAATGCAGAACAGTGTCAATAGTTGAATAATTTTGACTATTAGCTTTTTCAGTTGAAGGTGGCAGGATGCAAAGCCTGCATGTGGGGGTTACGTGGAAGGTTAAAGAGGAAACCTAGATAATGGACAAAATGTGGTCATGGTTAAAAATAATGGCTGCATTATGTCTTTGTGCTCCTTCTGTGGTGAGAGGATTAGTCTATGACATATTTGCATGGATATGGCCATGCTGTGTGAGAAGTTTAAGAGAACATCCATCATTTAATGCATGTTTCCAGAAGTGTCTCACACTGACATGAATATTTCTGCTCACTTACTAACCTACTGCCTCAGCACCTCTTGGATAAAGTAGAGCTGTCTTTTGAATTGGTTGAACACCAGTTTTGGTCTTGGACACTTTCTATGGAACCCTTTTCTTCCTTTCTTTAAGTTCTTTTGCTCTCATCCCTCTGGAATTTTAACTGATGAGTAATTGTTGCTGGGTTTTCTTTCGACAGAAAAGCATTGATAAAATTATTGTGTTTGATAGATACTAAGGTATAAGGACACTGAAACAAATTTCTAATCTGTCTTCTTTTGTGTCATTATCCTGGTAAGTTTTGTTCCTATCCTCTCTCTTATTTTTACTAATAAAATACTAATAAAATTTTTAAGTAGAGAAACCTGAAATGACACATTCCAATATAACCCATTCTTCTCACAACAAGACCTAGGTGAAACCTCAGGGATAAACTCCCCACCAATCCCTTCAGAAAAAGACTTATTTGGATTAGCTGAAAACGAAAATCTGAACAAAAAACCCTAACCAAACAAAAACAAACAAACAAACAAAAAAGAGAATTCCCAAAGAAATCCACTGTATGTTCTTTTATTGAGAGAACTGAAATGTTTTATTTCATCACAACAGATTAGAGACCTGTACAGAGACATCTAAATCCACTAAAATACTTTGGAACATCTGGCACATCTGCATGGGCCTGAGAGAGCCACTGAAGACCTGCACCTTAACAAAGTGACAGCTGGAGTCTGGGTGGGGAAGCCCAGAGCATGCAAGAGGACAGGACATCCAAGGTAAGGAAGCATAATATCTAATATCACCCAGACAGTCAAACTTCTTGCTTTCAGAATGTCCCTTTTTTTTTTTTTTTTTAATTATTGATATTATTTTTGTGGGTTGTTCAGTATCATGAAACAAATATTTAAGCAAAAATATAAAAAATGAAACAATTCACCCCATTTGAGGCCACTAAGAATTCTGTTCAACCCAGGGGTATTTCGGGTGGTGAGCAGGTAAAACAAAGCCATCGTTTCCTGCATTCCAAAATGAAACAGAACCAAATCTTTCCATTTGCTCTCCTCTTCCCAAATATTTCCAGGTTATCCAAATACGGATCACCTAATTCTAAAATCAAGTATTTAACAAAGAAGAGAGGATCACTTCTGCATGGATATAAAGAGAGCCTAGATAAAAACCATGGCAGATGCCTCTCATTCAGCCAGTTAAATTGAGGTGAGATCAGAAACAGCCTTACAGGTAGTGTTGTCTTCTACTCCTGGATTGCTTGAGGCAGGATTTTCTGAAGGGCATACAAAGTTCAGGTCAAGTGGGAGAGGCTGAGTTTGTCATTAATTCTCTGGTTTGGGAGAAAATTGACTAAGACCCAAAATGAACTTGTGACAGAAGTGACAAATCCACAGCAGAAGAATTCAGTTATTTAACTGATTATGCGGCTGGTAAAAATTAATGAAATATCCCAATAAGGATTTATATAGCTACAATATTATTAAAAGTTTATAACCACTTGCTAATTGGCATCATTAATGAAAATTAATGTGGCTTCACGCTCCTAAGTATTTCACTCCATAATGGGGAAATGGACAGTGATGTGAAATACTGCTAATAATTAATACTACTTATATTTTCAAAGACAAATAACATGCCCAAAGCTCTGCCAAGAGAAAGAAATACAATTATCCAGCCTGTATGTAACATGTGGTGGCAGTGAGTTAGCATTCTATCTAGCAGTGTTGAGGATAGCCCTTAGTGATTCAGGCACATCAGAGATCCCACACCACAGAAAATACAGTAACGATGCTGAACCTGAGGCAGAAGTTTCTCATGCATCTCCCTTTGTCATGGGGGGCGTGACATTTGAATTTGCAAATACGGATCATACCAATTCCCTCTCACTGTGTGGTAAAAATATATGTACGGGAATGGGGGAAATGTTCTTGGCAGTAGGACTGCCTAAATGCCAGGCAAGAGCCATGAAAGGACCTGCAGATCTTGTAGGCAGATCCTATAACAGCAGTAAAACCTGGGGTCCTATGTCAGGTACTGATGCTCCCTGCACAGTGCATGTGGATCTGCTTCATATCGAAAACGTCCAACATGTGTGGTTGAAAAGCATAAGAGGCAAGAATACACATTCCAGGCTATGTTCTTTCCTGAGTCTTATTCACTTTGGTCAGGGTTTGGGATGTATCATAGCACATCATGATTACAGTCCCAAATATCTCTCTGTAACACATTTATTTACAACCACTGTATATATATAAATTTTTTTTCTTAAGGTATTAGATGCCTTTTATGACATTCATATGAAATTTTTGATGATTTAAGAAAACCTTAAAAGGTAGGTGGTCCAATTCTGATTTCCTTTTTTTCTTATAATGTTTCAAAAGTCATCTCCATCTTCCTGGGACAGCCTGATAATAAACAGAATAAACATTATTTTTTATCAGCTGGGTGAGACAAAGAATCAAAGCAAGCACTAGAGACCATTTCTAGCTGGACATTCAAGGACATACCCATTCATTAATTTTTATCCTTTTTTGTTGAGCCCAATTATTTAATCCTTAATTCATGCCTATAAAATCAAAATTATTGCAGAGCAGATAATGCTTCTACCCCCATTTGTAACATAACACATAGGATAGTGCCCTATTATGAATTGAGGAGGGCAGTAGCATATTCCTGGTGCCCTGTTGAAGCTTTGTCATTCAGCACAAGAAATTTTCAAGATTCTTTAGATGTAAGGAGGGAAAATAAACTAAATTCCTACAGGGAGGAATTGAATATAGCTTTCCCAGTCCTGGAGGGCTGCTATAACCACAGTGTTACTGTTATAAAGACAGTTTCTATCATTACTTTTTCAATCTCACTCTCTGGAGGGAAGCTAGATGAAAGACTTACAGAATGTAACTTGGATTCACTGTATGTACTCCTCTGAAATACAGCCATGAGAGTCAGGGCTTTTATTTTGCTCTTATTTATTTTGTTCTGGACTACAAGTCCACCCGCAGATTAAATAGCTTTTATCAATTATGTCTTGGGGTGACATAATGAGAATTAATTGCTATTTGTAAATTACTTTGTGATCTCTGGTATTATTCAACTGAATATATGATTCTTTTATTGATGTAACTTGTTTGACCATTTTCAGGCTTTACATGGAGTAAACTGGAAGTTACCTCCCATGGGAGTTAATTCACCTTTCCACTACTCAATGTACCCTGCCTTCAGAAAAATATCTAACCAGGCACCATTTTTTTTTATATGATTTTTACTCTCAAAATTTATTGAGAATTTATGCGTAGAATTGCTGGAGTTTCCTCACAAGTTGGAGACAAACCTTACAGCAAAGATTATCCTAGTGAAACCTTTCATTTTTCATTGACTCTTCACTATTTCTCCTTTTACATTCAAAACTTTTTGAAAGAACAAATTTAAGGTATGATTGTAGAGATATACAATACCCTTTACCTTGCCCTAATTGTATAAAAGTAAATTGATGGAATGAAAGGAATTAACTTCCCCTGACTGTTATGTTCCATCAAAGGACTAATTTTTTCTGTCTGTCTTGCTCTGCCCTTGTGTTCTAAGTTTTGCCCTTCTTCATGATGACTCACCATGGTAGAACGTTTTCCCAAGGGATGTTTGTCTAGAAGGTAAGTGATTTTATTTTAGATCTCGGTTAGAAGGTCACCTTTTGTCTGTTTACTTTGTTTGTAGAGATATATTCATCTTTGTGTTCAAAAACCCTTTCCAGCATCCATCCATTTATCTTCATTACCAAAGTAAGCTGGCTTGACCTATAGTATTAATTGTACCTGCTTTGGAACATCTAACTTTTAAATGTTTCCATCTGGGCTTTAATTATACTTTGTTTGTTGGTTTGGTTTGGTTTGTTTATTTTTTAAAAACTATAGGAAGAAATTTATAGAAAGAAAAGCTATATTTAGATTAAATATAACATTTTTGCTGTGAGGGTAATGAGACCCTGGTGCAGGTTGCCTAGAGAAGCCGTGGCGGCCCATCCCTGGAAGTATTCAAGGCTAGGTTGAACAGGGCTAGGAGTAATCTGGTCTAGTGGAAGTTGTCCCTGCCCATGGCAAGGGGTTAGAACTAAGTGGTGTTTAAGATCTTCCAGCCCAAATCCTTCTATGATTCTAGGATTCAATGAAATAGGTAGTTTTGGACTGAAATTAATCTCATCTTGCATAGAAGTACTTAATGTAGGACAGAATACTCTGGCTTTAAAACACTTTTTTCTTTTTTTTTTTTTTAGACCATAAAGAGAGACAGTGGTGAGTATCTCAGATGTAGACATCTGTGTTGTAACTGTCTGAAGTGAGGGAAGATGCATCTCATCCAGAAAAGAGAACTAATAGTATCATATCAAAGACCACAAGAATATATTTCCTCTCTCTGCTCTTCCAGTCAGAGGGGAATGCACTGGAGCTGGCCACACATCACAAATAAGATAAAAGGCACAGCCAAAGTGAAGAGATTAGCACAAAGCCATATGTAGAACCAATCAAAGCTGCTGACAAATGATGTTGAACTTCTAACAAAATGCTGAAATTCAAAGGCTATTAAAACAAACAAGAAAAAAAAAACAAAACAAAAAGAAAACCCACAAAAAAAACACATTTAAAGAACGGGGATGGGGATATGAAGGAGAAAGGATTGGGGGGGGAAGAGAAATTATTTTCATTTAGCAAATTGTTCAGTGAGAAGGCAAGTATAATCTCAGGCCTAAAACTTGTCCCTTGAGGTTGTCAAGTGTTCTGTATTCAGCAGAACAGGAAAGGTTTACAGTACCCTTCCCGTCAAAGTGGTATTTGGGCTGCCTTCTCTCCTTAACATCCTCATTTATATCTACCTTTATGACTTCTGTTAAAACTGGTCTCCTATTCCACTGTCCTGCCACATGCAGCCATTCTCCTGTCCATCATTAAATTGTTGCCTTTTCTTCTGCTCTTTCTCCTCCCTTCCTTTCTCTTCTGCTCCACCCTGCAGCTCCCAGAGGTATTTGCATTTGTGTGGCAAATACACTGATTCTTTTCACTTGGTTTGCTCCAGCATGACATGAACTATTTAATTGTAAATTATTAAGTCATCTGTACTTTCCTGAAATGATTCACAGTGGAATGACAGGAAATTATTCCTAGTGGAATGACAGGATATGATATGATGAAATCACAATTCACATGTAAATTGGATGTCTGCTGATAGAAATCTGAAGTCCACTGAGAATTCACAAAAAGAAAATGCTGCAAGGCTTATCCACTGGGTAGGTAATTTACTAATGGATAGCCCTTGTTTTAATACTGTCCACTCTTAGTTGTTAAAACCTCAGGATGATTTTTTAATTTCTTCAGTTGTAGCTTGATGTGAAAAGTTCAGATAAACAGCCCCATTTCTAGTCTTTAGATATATATATTTTCTCCTCAAGTATCTAATTTGTCAGTCACACATACACACACACACATAATATAGATATTACATGTATATATATTTTACATATATATTTACATATACAGATATAAATATATATACATATACATATATAAAATTATATACATACATACACACACATATATATATGTGTATATATATATATATATATATATATATAAGGACTGACTGCTAGATGGCATAATTCACTGTAGCTTTATTACTTGAATGGAATTGTGCCAGTTTTATTCATACTGATGTTCTGTAGATAGATTAAACTGTACACAGCTATACAGACATTGTCGTGCATCTTTATTTTTTTTTCCCTTCTACAAAGCTGTCTGCACAAATAATCTCTTTGGCTTCCTCTGATTCACTTTAAAAGTGCTACGTTAATTTTAAATGCAAATTGCAATAATTAAATTTGACCTTATAAACTATCAGATGTGATGGGAATTTCCCTTCCTGATTTTTTATCTTAAATTGGAAAGGAACCAGATCAAACAAGCAGGGAATTTCAAAGTCAAAACAAATACCATCCATGGCTAGGGACTCTGTTACAATAACAAAAGAGAAAACATATGTATGTGTGTGTGTGTGTGTCTGTGTGTGTATAATATAGATGTTAACTACAAACTATCCAACATTTTTAAATTTGTTTGTAAGACTGGCAGTTGCTCATCTTCTGTTGTTAAGGTAAAAAAAAAAAAAAAAAAGAAAAAAAATCACAATCAAAATGACCCACATAGATATATGTATTTTTCCTTCCTTTAATAATGGATACTTTCAGATACCTCCTAAGGTCCTATTCCTCCTGTCATGTTTAAAGGGTTTATTGTTTCCAGAAAAGCTTTTGCTGCTCCCTCTGGAGACTGAGCTGATCTAAGGTAATATTAATTCTGTGCCTCTCTCTTGTCGGAACTCGACTTCAAACGGAATAAATGAGATGAGAGCTGAAAGAGAGGTTATGCAAGCTGTCATCCTCCATTGTGTTGGAGGCATCAATGACTCTCAGAACAAATTAGGTGTCACTCTACTAAATCGCAGTCAGAAAGGCAAATCAGTTTATAGAAGACTTATTTGGTCTCCTGGAAAGCTCTTGCATTCAGAGCACAGTTAATCTTCCTTTTCTTTCAGTAATTTTAAAAATCCTCATTTTTTACTTCTTTTTAAATCAAGATGAAGCAGAATTTCCTCATCATGACTCATAATGTTCCCCGTACAATTTATGCTGATTAGTTCAGTCTAACTTCTCTTTCTCTAAAATGAAAAAAAAAAAAATCCCACAGAGGTTTGTTTCACTCCTAAAAGAGAAAAGAGATGTGACTACATATGTTTTATTAGACTTCTTAATTTGAGGATTGTGGTTTGGGAAAGAGGTCTGTGATGAAAAGAGTATTTGAAGAAAAAAGAGTATTTGTGAAGCTTGCCAAGCATGAATTATTCCAGTTTTGTGAATCTTATTGATTCTATTCATTCTTTAAGTGACTCTTGACCTATAGAAAAAACCCAATTATTTTATTTTATTTTATTTATTTTTTCCCCAATAGAGAGGCTAAATAGATTTTACATTCTAGGTTGTACAAGGAACATTTTTTCTTTTACAATCAAGTGATGTGCAATCAAGTTTTCTCTGGAAAAGTCACTCTCATTCACTTCTTGAATGAAGAAAATTGCTGTGCTTTAGCAAGATCAGAACAACAATTGAGTATACTTCACATAAACTGAGGTACCAATTTTAATTCAACGTTACTTCTGTACAAGCAATGAGTTTGGTGCAACAGGATCAGCTCTGCAGAGTGAAATAGCTGCTGTTGAAGGCCATTTTACATTTTAAAAGGATTTTTTCTCAGATTATCTTTGGTCTAGAACTGAGACTCAGAAGGTTCTGCAGTACATCAAGTGTATTTCTGAAGAGCATCTCTTAGTTTTGCCTGAATTGAAAAGTTTTGAAATCTCTCTGTGCTGTGCAATAACTGGGGACAATCAGATTTTCCTCTAAAGTAGACTCTCAACAAAACCTGAATGGAGATATACTATTAGTGTCTCATAAATTTCGAGAAAAGTGACAAGCACATATTCCTGGAACTCACTTGGGTCTCAGAAGTCTCTGTATCACTCTGTGATTGAACTTGTGACTTGGGAACACAGTGTAAAGTTTCCAAAGTTCCAGTCATATTTTATTTCCTGAATTTTAGAGAAATCTTTATAATTCGACAGGCTTAGAGTGCTTCAGTTTCCTACAGAAGACACGGAGGGGATTAAATGAATATAACTAGCTTTAGGGAAGGCATCAAGCTTATGTAGGAGTCCCTCAAACTTTCTGGTGGGAAATATGAATGAAAAAATCAGAAATTACCTGCCCTTATCAATAAATAGCTAGACAGTTAACCACCTCCTCTGGCAGATCAGTTGAAAGAAGTCAACCCAAATAGAAAGGAAGCAGAGACACTCCTTTCCTTCAGCAAATGTGAGAAAAACCCTCCATGCACTCAGATGAGTGAGGAGGTCTGTTAATGAAAGCTCATCCTGCCTACTCTAAATCAGATTTAAAATCAGTTCTCCTGTTTTTTCTTTTAGAAAAGTCTGACAAAATGGACATATTGGATGTTTTCAAATGAGTCTTCCTGAATCACTGCTATTGACATTTTTCTGGTTCAGGAGATAAGCTGTGTACTTTTGAATTTCCTCAGGCACGGGAGAGACCTGAACTCAGATGCCCCGTGTGCTGGAAGGTAGATCTAAGACCTAAGTTATAAAAACACAGTTAATTCCCTTCATTCCAACTTAAAAAAAAAAAAAAATAAAAAAAAAATAAAAAAAAATAAAACCCCCCAAACAAACCACAAAACCTTTTGCCTGAGCTTGTCTGTTTGTTTTCAGAAAGAATATACAGAGGATTATGTTCAAACATCCCAAATGGAAGTAAAATTCCCCTTTACTGACAAAGTTAAGATAGAAAAATCTTTTAATGAGAGGGATATTCCTCAGCATTTCAGAATCACAGAACTATCAAGTTTGAAACAGACCTCTAAGATAATTGAGCCGAACCATTAACTCAACACTGACGTGTCCACTGCTAAACTATATGAGCACCATATCTACAGACTTTTTGAACACTTCCAGGGATGGGGATACCACCACTTCCCAGCAGATTGCCCCAATAAATTTACCAACACTCCTCCTCCCACATACAAAATCCATTCTC